AGAGAGAGAGAGAGAGAGAGAGAGTGAGTGAGAGTGTGTGTGTGTGTGTGTGTGTGTGTGTGTGTGTGTGTGTGTAGGATAAGATTCATGCAGACCTCTGGCCCTAGGGAAGGATACAGCCCCTGATACTTGTAATCTGCCCATTCCCAGGCCTTTCCTGGGTTCCAGCTGAGTTTTGCTTGTGCCATGGGGGGATTGAGGTAGTATCAGGCCTGGTCCTTGAAAGTAAGGTGGCTAAGGAGACAGCTGGCTGGCTTTGGTAGGGGATGGTAGTATCACTTGAAGCCAGCAGTTATCCCTTAACAGCCTGGCCTCATCTTCATCCGTCCCCCCCTTTTCAAATGTGTAATCTTGGCCCAGCTGTGCCATGTTTCTGTGTCATTGTCCCTCCTGGGTAAAGGAGGATTTTTTTGGCGAGGATCAAATGAGTTGGGATTGTGAAAAGTCTTTGGCGGAACCAATTGTATTGTGCTGAGGATTTCTGAGCCCTGTTTTTTGGATGGAAACAGAGGTGGGGTGGTGGGGGACCCCTTCCAGCTGGACCCTGGGAGGGGAGAGCAGGTGCAGATGGCCAAGTGCAGCGTCAGCAAGAGGAGGAGTTTCAGTTTCTATCAAAACAAGCTCTCTGAATTCCCCTACCCCTGCAGGTCCATTGGGCCACTCTTCCCCCCACCTTGGATCCCCTGCAGGGAAGTCCAGCCTGGCCCCCAGCCCCTTGTGCCAACCTGCTGGGAGGAGGAGGGCTTTCCATAGGAAGGAGGCGGGGCTAGGAAAGTCAGAAAAGCTAATCCATGTCAAGTGCTTGCAATGTTCTCGCCTGTGACAGATGGATGCTTTTCCTGCTTTTATCACTGAAGAAATCCTGCTATCCTTTGTTGGGCAGGCACTGTTGCCTTTTCCTTGGTTCAGAGATGTACATTTTTCCACATTAATGATTCCAAAATTAGGATATTAGCTTGTAATCAGTGTGGAGGGGTTTGTCCCAAAAGCTGTGATAAGTGTGGAAGTATTGTAACTTGCCCATACTTTAGGACTGTATTTGGGAAGCCTGTCTTATTAGTTTGATATGAATTTGGTTACTAAATTTTTTCTTCCTTTTTTTTGGGGGGGTGGGTGGGGTTGCTGGAGATTGAGTTCAGGGCTTCACATAGTGTTCTACCACTGAGCTAATTTTTCTAGAGCATGTTTCTAAAGGTTTTTTTTTTTCTTTTTCTTTTTAGTACCGGGGATTGAAGCCAGGGGTGCTTAACCACTGAGCTACATCCCCAGCCTTTGTTTATATTTTATTTAGAGCCAGGATCTCACTGAGTTGCTTAGGGCCTCCCTAAATTGCTGAGGCTGGCTTTGAACTTGTGATCCTCCTGCCTCAGCCTCCTGAACCACTGGGATTAAAAGTGTGTGCCACCATGCCTGGCTTGGTTTCTAAACTTTTGAATGAAGTGTTCAGAAGGTAGGCCTGTAGAACTTTGGATTCAGTAAAGGAAGAGAATCAGTCTTGCTTGCAAGAGGGGGGTCAGCCTGGGCTCTGCATTTGGGGCTTTCCTCTGGTGGAGGAAGTGCAACAGAAATGAGGAAGGGCTTAATAAGCATTTCCGGCAGCATTCTGGCTGACTCGTGGGTGGCTAGCAATATTATGAAGTCATTGTCATCATGACAAATGGTGCTCCTGTTTGTTGACCATCTCCTGTGCTTCAGGTACTTGGCAAATCTTTCCATGTCATCTTACAACACCTGGTGGGTAGAAAAAGAGTTACAGTCTCTACTTTATGAGTGATGGCATTTTAGCCCAGAGAGACTAAAAGGCCTTGTCCAGTACCACACACCTAGGAGGTATCAGGGCCTTTCTGCCAGGCAAAGGGATCAATGGCAAGGAAAGCAGGGAGACCCTCATGGGGTTCTCCCCTAGCTCCCTTTCCTGTCCCACCATCTCCCCTCTTTTCCCCCATTTTCCCACATCTGGCATCCAACTATTGCAGATAGATCTCCCAGGCCTGCCAGTGAACATTGACCCTTCTGTAGGAGATATGTGTTCTCCAATACCTCCGCCTGTCTCCCTGAGCCTGGTGTTAGACCCCTGTTTAACTCTTTCACTCCCATCTCAGTTCCTGTTTACTGCAGCTGCAGATAGCACTGCCTCCAGACACCCCAAGCTCAGCCTACAGAAATAGCTCCTCCAGCAGCCTAGGGTAGCCACAGCGGTCTCTGTGGTCCTGGCTTCTAAGAAAGGCAGCAGCAGGGGGCCCCCAGCCTGTGTGCAGGACATGTGACTTGCTGGAAGTGCTGCTGGGGGGGGGGGGAGTGTGGCCACAGAAGCCACATCCTTGTTTACATCAGTGAAGGGGCTACCCCTTCCCGCCTTTATAGTCCCCACCCCCAACTCCTCAGTTCTCTTTACTTTTAGGAGGACTTGAGAGACATGGGCCTGGGTTCTATCTCAGAGTAGCCTTTGTCTCTTTATCACTCAGAACCCTCCTGTGAGGGCAACAAAGGATTTCTTCTGGCAGATCTTCAGAGAGGTAGACTGCTGGGCATGGAAGAGCTCTGCAGTGTTCCCTTTGTGCCCTGACCCTGTGCCCCAGGGAGATCCCATCACAGCAGTGGCCCCTCTGGGGAAACAAAGGGAAATTCCCTCTTTGTGGCAGCCAGTGAATATGAGGCTTACCTAATCTTCAAGCCCACTTTAATTTCCTAGGGAGAAGCACTCCCTGCCTGCCGCCCCAAACTATCTGTTCAGCAAACTGTCCCTGATTTCCTTTTCTTTATTGGCACAGGGCTGGGGGTGGGCTTAAGTGGGAGCTGCCTCCTGCCTTCAGTAGGACTGTGCTTAGGCTGAAGTCTTGTTCACACTTTTTATGAATGTGGTGATAGAGGTGCCCTGAGTGTGTATGTGGGGACTATGCTGAAGAACATAGTTTGGGGGGGCAGGTATGTAGCTCCATGTTAAAGGGCTTACCTAGCAGGTGCATAAGGCCCTGCCCCACAAGAAAAGAAGAAAAAATATAAGAACATATTGATGTTTGAGAAGTGGGCACTGAAGAGGATGGGAAGAATGTTCTAAAGAGAGGGAATAGCATGTATGAAGATCATTAATAGGGGAGAAGGAACCTGGTTTCTTCTCCCTTTAGTTGGACCAAGTCCTGTGGCACCTGGATCATTTGGGCCACAGGCTGCTTTTCCTGAATTAGTCTGAATTTAGGTGCATGTATGTGTCTTAAACTTCTTAATAGACTGTGTGTTCCTGCAAGGATTTTACTAAGTCCAGTCACCTTTGCAGTATCCCACATTTACGCCTCACCATGAGGAGTCCCTGATTCACTGAGCCACTTCTCTGTCCCAAACCCATTGCTAGTCACTTTATACCTATTGTCTCATTTAATCCCCATGAGAGGCCTGCCAGGTCATCATCCATCTTGTTTACATTTTACAGGTGAGACATACAGAATCTCAGAACACCTAGGTCACTTGACTTTGTCTTGCCAGTTAGCTCACTAGTATCTGAAATAGATAGGCCAGATACTACCTTTTTTTTTGAGGTGCTGGGTGGTGAACCTGGAGCATTATGATTAGCATACTCTATCTCTTAGCTGAACCGCCCAGCTATACTTTGTTTTTAACCTATAGTGGCCATGCTCACTCCTAGGAGTGGGAAAACTGAATTCCTGAGTTGACTGTTGTGGACTGACCCTTTGTGACCTAGAGCAAGTTACAGACTGACCCTGAGCCTCAGTGGTCTTATAGGTGGGAGTGTGGAATGGATGGTGCCTCAGGCCAATGGTTAGACTTAGATTGTTGTTGATTTGTTTCAGCAGTCAGGCATGCCTTAAAACAATCATCTGCCTGAGAGACCTGTGGTTGTATCCCTCATGATCCCATTCCAGCCAAGGGCAAGAACTCTACAGGCCTTGGGGTAGGAAAGGGAGTTTTCCTCATCCTCCAGCCTGCCCTCCCCCAAAGATGTTCTTTGACTTGGAATTCTTAACCAGTGGCAGATCTGATCCCAGCCTTTCTTTTGTCCCCCCTAGCCGACCAGGTATATGGAGACCAGGACATGCACGAAGTTGTACGAAAGCACTGCATGGACTATCTGGTGAGACCGTGGGCAGGCCTTGGGGTAGAGGCAGGGCAATAGGATCTCCTCTGCATGCAGACCTTCATCTTGCAATCTGTTGTGCAGATGAAGAATGCCGACTACTTCTCCAACTACGTCACAGAAGACTTTACCACCTACATCAACCGGAAGCGGAAAAATAACTGCCATGGCAACCATATTGAGATGCAGGCCATGGCAGAGATGTACAACCGTCCCGTGGAGGTGTACCAGTACAGCACAGGTACTTCTGTAGTGGGTAGGTGAGGGACTAATGGTGCCTCATCTGAACCTGCCATACCTGGCCCCCTGTGGATGCTCCCTCTTTGTCTTTCTCTGCAGAACCTATCAACACATTCCATGGGATACACCAAAATGAGGATGAACCCATTCGTGTCAGCTACCATCGGAACATCCACTATAATTCAGTAGTGAATCCTAACAAGGCCACCATTGGTGTGGGGCTGGGTCTGCCATCATTCAAACCAGGGGTAAGTTGTTCCCTGTGCCCAGTATGGCTGTGGATATGGAGTCTTGGTTCTGCCCCTAGCCCAAAAAATGTCCTGTCTTCACTGTCATTCTCCTGTGAGGTCTCACCTCTGTATGAAATTAGAGAATTACAGTAGATATCTCTCAGGGTTCATTTGTGGTCTTTATTTGCCTGTCCATTAGTTGTCTTACCCATCTTGTATGCCTGTTGATGGCTGGCATTTTAGGATGTAGAATCCTGTTTGGGAACAGTAAGCCAGGACATGTTTGATGTCCACATGGATTTTTCTCCTTGACTCAGAAGTTACAGATAGCAGGGGTCACAGAAACTTGGAATGTTGTCCTGGCCCACCACTTACTGACTGTGGCTGCTAGGGCAGATTGTATAAGCACTCTGGGCAGAAGCCTGACTGATACACAGAAAGCACTTCCCACTGGGCCTGGGACCTAGTAGATGTCAGAAGGTAGCTTTATATTTTTTTTAGCACATGCTGATGCTGGTGTTCATTCATATTCTCTCCCTCTCTCTCATCAATAGTCATCAACTGAGGATTTTGAGGTCTTTTATTCAGGTTTCACTTCCTACAAACAAAGTGCTTCTGCCTCATTTTAGGAAATACCTTAACACCAACAAACCCTCCAGAACAGGGGATTTTTTTTTTGTTTTTGTTTAATTTTAAATAAACAATTTTAGAAAAGTCTTAGGTTTACATAATCATTGTAAGGATATTACAGAGAGTTTCCATATGCCCCACTGTCATTATCATGTTATAGTACATTTGTCATAATTAATGACCCATATTGATGTGTTGTTAAAGACCAGACAATTCAGATTACTTCAGTTTTCCCATGATGACCTTTTTTCTCTTCTAGGATCCTATCCATCATACCACCTTACTTATTTAGTTGTCATATCCCTTTAGTTCCTTGTGGCTATGACAGTTTCTCATAATTTCCTTGTTTTTGATCGGTTTATCAACCCTGTAAGTTTTTCCTTTTATTTAATGTCATAAAATTGGAATCATGCAGTAGGTATGTAGCTATTTTAAAAAAATACGTAGTTTTAGGTGGACACAGTATCTTTATTTTTTATTTTTATGTGGTGCTGAGGATCGAACCCAGTGCCTCATGCGTGCTAGGCGAGCACTCTACCACTGAGCTACAACCCCAGCCCAGTATGTAGCTTTTTCAGGTTGTCTTTTGCACTTCACACTATGCATTTAAAATTCATCTATGATTTCCCCTGGTTTCACTGCTCATTTCCTTTTTCTTTCTTTAAAAATTTAAATGTTTTTGGGCTGGGGATATATAGCTCAGTTGGTAGCATGCTTGCCTACATGCACAAGACTCCGGATTCAATCCCCAGCACCACCAAAACAAAATTTGAATGTTTTGGCCTGAGGATGTAGTGCAGAGGTAGAACACTTGCCTAGCAAGCAAGAGTAGGTCCTGAGTTTAGTCCCAAATACTGCAAAGTGTTTTTAAAAGTATTTTAATTGTTTGGAACAGTTTAAATTTACAGAACAATTGAAGAGGACAGAGTTAACATTTAACCCCACCCCCTACAGTTTTACTATTATGAACATCTCTGGTGACTGTGGCACATTTGTTACAATGTGTGGACCAATACAGTATTATTAACTGAAGTCACTATGTCTCCTTCAGTTCCTTTGTCTGTGACAGTTTCTCACACTTTCCTTGTTTTGATGACCTTGACAGTTTTAAGGAGTACAGGTCCAGTGTATTGTAGGAAGCTTCACTTATGGAATTTCTCTGATGGTGTGGGATTTTTTTAGTTGTAGTTGGACATAATACCTTTTATTTATTTATTTATTTTTATGTGGTGATGAGGATCTAACCCAGTGCCTCACACGTGCTAGGCAAGTGCTCTACCATTGAGCCACAATCCCAGCCCCTCTGATGATATTATGATTAGACTGGGGTTGTGTCTTTGGGGAGGAAGCTCACAGAGGTAAAGTGTCATTCTTGTTACATTATATCAAGGACATATACTGACTATGGCTATGGATGTTGTCCTTGATCACCTGGCAGAAGTAGTGTTTGTCAGGTTCCTACTCTATAAAGTTGCTATTTTCCACCACTTTCATACTGAATTGTGTGGAAGGAAGTCACATTTAAGGAATGAGGACTACCTTCTATCTTCCTTGGGGCTATTTGGAATTCTTTTGATTGAGAGATCTCTTATTCCCATTTATAAATTTATTCAATAACCCGTTTATATCAGTATGCACTTAAGGGTTATAATACAACTTGATTTTAATTATCTTGTTGCTCAAATTGTTCCACATTTTTTTGTGTGTGTGGTGCTGGGGGTGGAACCAAGGTCTTCCAAGCTAAGCAAGAGCTCTACCACAGAGCCACACACAAACCCCACCCCCACCCCTATTGCAAAGTTTTTTTTAAAAAACACTTCCTTACTTTTTGGTGCTATGAGGTGTTCCAGGTTCATCTTTTATATTTCCTGTCCTAGTCCTAGAAACAGCCATTTTTCCAAGGAGCCCTGGAAATATATATGTGTGTATACTAATCTGTATATGTATATACACATATAATCTATAAGTGTTTCTGTATGTAACCATCTGAATGGACAGTAATCTTAATATTTATTTTAGTTATTGGCAGACACAACATCTTCGTTTGTATGTGGTGCTGAGGATCGAACCCAGGCCGCACGCATGCCAGGCGAGCGCGCTACCCTTGAGCCACATCCCCAGCCCCATGAATGGACAGTAATCTTAAACATGAGGGTTTTTAAAAATTTTTTGTCATATATGGACACAATACTTTTTAAAAATTTATTTTTATGTGGTGCTGAGGATCGAACCCAGTGCCTCACATGTGCCAGGCAAGCACTCTACCAATGAGCTACAACTCCAGCCCTAAACTTTGAGTTTTTATTGATATCTCCCACTTATATGTTTGCCTTGTGCATTATTTTAGCCTTCTACCATTGTTCATCAGTAAATTCTTACTCCACTGGTGAGAAAGCCTGGTTTCACTCGTCAACCATTCGCTAATCTGCTACTTGAATAGAGCACAATGATATGCACAGTTCCTTTTGTCTTTGGTTTTACAGATTCCATTCATTTCCAAAGTGATTTGGGCCTCCAACCTCTTCCCCAGGTCCTTGCATACATTTGTAATTCATTTGTGAATTCTTTTGTCACATTCTGCATTCCTTGGTGGAATTTCCCCACCTCCTAATTGATTGTTTTTTTTTTTAAATCGGCATACATTAAGCTTTAGCCTTTGTTTTGTAAATTTCGAGGGGTTTTGACAAATGCTTAACAACTTCATGTATCCATGCATTACAAGATCATTTAGAGTAGTTTCATCACTCTTAAAATTTCCTATGCTCCTTATGTTTGCTTCTCCCTTCCTCCCCTTTCTGCAACCATTGATCTGTTTATTGGCGGGTATTGCCCATTTCAGAATGTCATGTAACTGGAATCATAAATTTGTAGCCTTTTTTTTTCTTTTAGAATTAGGGTTGTAGATTTAGGGCCTTGCAAGTGCTAGGCTCTACCGCTAAGCCACAACCCCAGACCAGCTTCTTTTTTTTTTTTAATATTTTTTTTTTGGTTGTCAGTGAACCTTTAATTAATTAATTGATTGATTAATTTATACGTGGTGCTGAGAATTGAACCCACTGCCTCATATATGCTAGGCAAGTGCTATATCACTGAGCCACAACCCCAGCCCCCATATGTAGCCTTTTCAAACTGCTTCTTTGGGGCTAGGGTTGTAGCACAGTGGTGGAGCGCTTTCCTAGCATTTGTGAGGCACTGGATTTGATCCTCAGCATCACATAAAAACAAATAAATAAAGATATTGTGTCCATCTACAACAAAAAATATTTTTAAAAACTTCTTTCAGTTATCAGCAAGCATTAAGATTCCTCTATGTTTTTTCATAACTTGTGAGGTCGTTTCTTATCACTTACTATTCCATTTATGGATGCATGACAGTTTGTTTTAATCATCTATTGAAAGACAGTCTTGGTTATTTCCAGCTTTTGATGATTATGAATAAGCTGCTGTAAAATGCTGTACAAAGGTTTTTGTGTGGACATAAGTTTTTAGATCAGTTGTGTAAATAAATATCTTGGAGCGAGATTGCTAGACTATAAGAGCATGTTTTTGATTTGCAAGAAACTGCCAAAACTATCTTCCAAAATGGCTGCACAGTTTTGCATCTCCACAATAATGAATGAAAATTCCTGTTGTTTCACGTTCTTCCTAGAAATTTATCTTATATTGTTTTGGAATTTAGCCATTCTGGTAGGTGTGTAGCAGCATTGTTGTTGATGGACCTTTATTTTATTTATTTGTATGTGGTGCTGAGGCTCGAACCCAGTGCCTCACACATGCAAGATGAGCACTCTACCACTGAGCCACAATCCCAGCCCCTATTATTTCAATTTTTATGATGCTATCATATCTCTTAGCTTGACATGTAACACGCTTCATACATTGCCCTATCACTCATAGTGTCCACCCCATGCCAGTTCTGTCCCCACCTCTCTAACACAGCCACAAGGCTTCCCCAGCCCCTTACATGCTTGACTACTCCCTCCACCCTGTGTCCACACAGCTCATTTTTCAGGTCATTTTATCTCTTTGACCCATCTAGACCTATATGAGGAAGGACTTGCTTTGTGAAAAAGGGCCCTTATTGGATGGGACTTCTTTAAGTTAAGGCTTACGCTTGAGGGCACCTACATCCCCAGACTTATTAGTGCCTCAATTGAGATATCTCACTGTGGGGCCAAAACTTCTGAGCATAGGAGTTTGGAATAACAGGTCTCAAAACAAGTCTGCTTTCTCCCAGTCTCTGTAGTCTGCTGAGGAGTGCTTTGTGGGAGTACCTCCCTTCCTCTTTTCTGGGCCTGTGGGCCTACCTCCCTAAACCTGTTCTGGTTCTTGGCCAGGTTCAGCGTATCACCCCATATCCTTACTTCTTTCCCCTTGCAGTTTGCAGAGCAGTCCCTGATGAAGAATGCCATAAAAACATCAGAGGAATCATGGATTGAACAGCAAATGTTGGAAGACAAGAAACGGGCCACAGACTGGGAGGCAACAAATGAGGCCATAGAGGAACAGGTGGCTCGGGAATCTTACCTGCAGTGGCTGAGGGATCAGGAGAAACAGGCCCGCCAGGTTCGCGGCCCCAGTCAGGTAGGTCATGTCATTGGCCTGGCTACGAAAACATTACTTCACATGCTTTGCCCCCAAATAAGCAGGAAAAAAATTAAGCAGTTTTGACATCTGGGAGGAAGAGCAACTCCCAGGCTCGTCTGTAACTTGTCTTGGACCCTAGTTTTGGCATTGTGCCTTAACTCTCAACACTTGTGCAGAACACGCTCTTAAGGAGTGAGGGAAAGCAGCCATTGCTCCTGATAACATGAAGGAGCAATGAATAACTGCAGAGAGACAAGTTTTATTGAATGCCTTTGTGTGCCAGACTCTGTGCTGAGGAATGCAAAATTAGATCTTGCCTGCTATGCTTTCAGTGATTCTGTGTGTTAAGGAAGACCCCATTAGTGAGGCCTATGATCCTTGCTGTGACACCAGTGGAGGTAGGGGATCTGGTCACCTCTTCAGAGGAAGGTTGAATTGTTAGGGCAGGGGAAAGGCAGGGCAGACAGGCATCTGAGGAATCACAAGGAGTTCAGAGTGATGGTAGATGTTGACAAGAGCTGAATAACTTGTTCAACAAACATTCATTGCAGGTCTGTGACCGGAGGTGTTATTGTCAGTGAGTGAGGATATGTTGGTGAACCCAGCAGGCCAAGATCTCTGTTGGTGTGAGGCTTACATTTTAAAAAAAAAATTTTAGTTGTAGATGGACATAATACCTTTACTTATGAATTATTTATTTTTTAATTTTGTATTCTTATTTATTTTTTAGTTGTTGGTGGACCTTTATTTTATTTATTTGTATGTGGTGCTGAGAATTGAACCCAGTGCCTCACGCGTGTTACCACAGAGCCACAATCTCAGCCCATGCCTTCATTTTTTAAAATATTTTTTTAGTTGTAGATGGACAAATACCTTTATTTTATTTTATGTGTGTATGTATGTATGTGGTGCTGGGATTGAACCCAGTGCCCTCACACATGCTCAGCAAGTGCTCTACCACTGAGCCACAACCCTGGCCCCATAATACCTTTATTTTTTTTATTTTATGTAGTGCTGAGGATTGAACCCAGTGCCTCACACACACTAGGCAAGCACTCTACCACTGAGCCACAATGCCTAATTCCTGATGCTCACATTTTTGTAGTGAAACAAAATAATTTTAATGAATAAATTAGCTGAGAGTTAAATAAATAAACATAAATTAGTTGATGAAAAATGCAGAGCTAGGATAAGGGGGATGAGTAGGTTTGAGTGGGGATAGGTGGGAGTTCACAGTATTAAAACACTATGGTCAGGAAGGGCTGAGAGCTAGTGAAATTTGAGCAAGAGCTTGCAGAAGGTGAGCTACTCAGCTGAGCACACAATCAGGAGAAGGGAGGGGGCTAGCACACCTGTTGTGATTCAGACAGCCCAGAGGCGGGCCAGAGTAGCTGAATGGAATGTAATGAAGGATAAAGTTGGAGGTGGTGGAGCCAAGTTGGATAGGGGCTTATGCATTCTGGGAGGCAAGAACAATGGGAGGGTTGTGAACAGATCTAAGTTAGGACATAACAGGATCCCCCTGACTGCTGAGTACAGAACTGGAATCCGAATCTGGAGAGCGGGAAACAGGGTACCAGCAAGGAGGAAGCTACTGTCCAGGTGATTGGTGAAAATGCTGGCAGTGGAAGTGGTCAGAAGGGATTAGATTCAGGTTCTGTTTAGAGAGTGAATAGAATTTCCTATTAGTTGTCTGGAAGGGTGTGAGAGAGTGGGGTTAAGGATTTTAGTCTGTGTCCTGTAGTCCACTATGGGGGTAATGATGGTGCCACACACTGAAGCTGTATCATAGTCAAGATCTGGGGAAGAGAGTGAGTACTTGATGCTTGGGCACAGAATGGACTTAGAAAGTATTGGTCTTCACTGCTTTTTCCCTCTCCACTGCAGCCCCGGAAGGCCAGTGCCACATGCAGTTCGGCCACAGCGGCGGCCTCCAGTGGCCTAGAGGAATGGACCAGTCGGTCCCCACGGCAGCGGAGTTCAGCCTCATCGCCAGAGCACCCTGAGCTGCATGCTGAGCTGGGCATCAAGCCCCCTTCCCCAGGCACTGTCTTAGCTCTTGCCAAACCTCCTTCACCCTGTGCACCAGGTCAGTGACTTGCTTACAGGATGCATGCTAGGCTCAGGAAGCCTTGTCTGGGTCTTGGGCCCTACCTCAGACTGTCCATCTGCCCCAGGTACAAGCAGTCAGTTCTCGGCAGGGGCTGACCGGGCCACCTCCCCCCTTGTGTCCCTCTACCCTGCTTTGGAGTGCCGGGCCCTCATTCAGCAGATGTCCCCTTCTGCCTTTGGTAAGCCTCCTCTGGGAACAGGGGCCAGCTGGAAGTTGGGGAGAGAATGGAAGCAGCAGCAAGTCCTAAGAAAGGGTTTCTGGAACCTCTGGCTCATCCAAGAAAAGAAGTCAGAAGCTGGGCAAGGTGGCTCAGACCTATAATCCCAGGGGCTTGGGAGGTTGAGGCAGGAGGATTGCCAGTTCAAAGCTAGCCTTAGCAACCAGGTGAGGCCCTAAGCAACCCTTTCTCAAAATAAAAAGGGCTGGAATGTAACTCAGTGGTTGAGTGCCCCTGAGTTCAATCCCTGGTACAAAAAAAAAAAAAAAAAAGTCAGACAGTAGGGGAGATTTTCAGGCCCAGGAGGGTTTCCTTAGAAGGGATCTAGCAGAGTTTCACAGGCTTAGGGAAGCCTTCTGTATCATAGCCAAGGCCTGGGAGTGACAGGGGCCTGAATGGGCTTTCTTAGAGCCAAGAATCAATAAAGGGTGAGGGAAGGCAGGCTGGGGTGCCCCATCATCCTTTTCCTTTTCCTCTTGCCCAGCAGGTCTGAATGACTGGGATGACGATGAGATCCTAGCATCGGTGCTGGCAGTGTCCCAACAGGAATACCTAGACAGTATGAAGAAAAACAAAGTGCACAGAGACCCACCCCCAGACAAGAGTTGATGGAGAACCAGGGACTGGATACCATCTCCCAATCCCTCACTCCTGCCCTCTGGTGCCACCCCACCTTCTTTGGCTTTCTTTCCTCTTGCCTCCTTCTGTTCTTTCCTCTCTCCCCTCTTCCCTACTCCTTACTTCCCTCTGGCTGGCCCATCCCTGCGCTCCTTCTCATTGCTGCCACCACCACCTGTCTCCGCCAGCTGAAGTGCCCTGTTGCCCCCTGCACAGCATCATCCCTGCATTCCACAGGGGACTTGGGCAAGGGTGCCGAAGGTAGGCGAGAGGCACACAGAAAACAGACCTGGCAGCCAGGCAACCCCAGAAGAGAGACACACTCAAGAGAATTCTCCTGCCTGCCCACCCTTCTTTCCTTCTGAGATCAGATAAACTTGTTACCCTTCCCCCAACAATGATGCCAGGGAGGTGGGAGGAAGAAGTGGGAAAATTCCCAGTACCCCAAGAATGTCTGAGCCTTCCATGTCGAATTTTTTCTTTGTTAAAATGTACTTTTATCTTATAAAATCAACCAATCAAAAATGATATATAGACAACAGCATTGGCTCTGTGAGGACGCATCTCTCTGGTTTCGGGGCAGGCAGGCTGGCCATGGGGCATGGAGGGGGTACAAAGATTTGGGTTATCACTGTCTTCTGGTCTCCAGCTCCATGGAGGTCAACAGAGAATCTAGAGTGAGCCAGGGCTGGGGTTGGGGGTGGGGGGTGGCAGGTGGCAGACTGGCTTTGGACAATGAGACCCTGACCTTGCTGCATTCCTTTTGCTTCCACCACCACCACCACTAGTCTCTTTGGAATCTTGGGGTGGGGGGCATCTGTGGCCACCACCCAGGATTTGAGTATAGGGAGTGGGAGCAGCCTCAGCAGATGGGGCACCCGTGCCCTGCAGGTGTTGACAAGATTTGCCATCTGTAATGTCCTTGGCACAATAAAACCAAATGTCAGTTTCCCTGAGCGGCTCTGTTCTGTGTGGGGCAGGGGGTGGGGGGGCCTCTGGGGGAAAGTGGCGATGGCACAAGGCTTGAGTTGACCTCTGAGGTCCCCATGCTCTCCAGTAAGGTCAGTGTGAGAGCCCAGGGTTCACATTTGATTTTCTTATTAAATTTCCTTCTGGCCAGGCATGGGCCCTTAGTCCCAACCATGGGGGAAGCTAAATCAGGACGTTTCCTTGAGGCTAGTCTGGCCAATTTAGGGAGACCCTATCTTAAAAACAAGCCTCCTCCTGGGCTTGTTACCATAAGAAAAAAAAACTCCTTCTTTGTCTGCTGATGGAGTCCCTGCTTGCCTTATTTCCTGGGGGGTTGGGGGGATGGGAGCAGGGGACTGTGAGCTAAAGACCAGGGATTGAATTTCCTGTCCGAATTCCAACTACCCTGCCCCCATCTCTCACCATCAATGTTTGCTCTTTCTTGTAATAATCTGATGAGGAAATTCTTTGGAAATGCACAACTGACACTTCATTAACAACATGAGTTTGGGTAGAAGTGACCAGAGGAGCCTTTCCCTCTGGGTTTTAGAAGTTGGGAGATAAATGAGCTAAATACATTTTTGTTCTTATTCTCCAATCTTCTTGACACCTCTGTCCCTGCCCCTACTAGAGGTAAAGCCAAGGTGGAAAAGGCTGACTGGACCCCAGTCCCCCAGGTTTTCTCGAAACAGTATCTTTTCTGCTGTGCCTCAATAATGGGGTCCCTGTTTGTGTCTGGCCCTGCAGGTGAGGGCATAGCTGGCTGAGTGGCTGTGTGGGGTGTCTGGAATACAATGGTCAAGCATGAGTATGTTAAGAGGGTTGGTTGGAAACCTACCTCAGTTTTCTAGCTGTATCTCTTTGGGCTCTCTAGAATTTCACCTGTCCCATCTGCTCTACAAGGGCTACTAGCATCTACTACCTCATGCTGATTGTGAGCATCAACAGAGAATGTGTATGGTCAACGTGATTCACTACTGCGCACAGTTCCTGGCACATCCTGAGAGCACAAATGTTAGTGCATATTAATTATCCCATTGTGGAAGTTCCAGCACCATTTGACCTCTGCCTATTTCTTGCCACTCTGTCCAGTTTCCTTGACTTCTGCCTGCAGGTACCATCTTGTCTTTAAAGACAAAGGGTCACCTTCTGAGGTGCCCTGAATGACTCCCATTCACATTCTCACTTCTCTCTACAAATATTCCCAATAGCTGTACTAGAAATAAAACTTCCTGGGCAGGCACTGTGATGCTTGACTGGTCTGTGTTTATTAAGATACACATCCCCATCAAAGCCTGGTAGGCTTATAGTGGACCCCTAGAACCTAGTATTGTTGGATCAACAAGGGAGCCCACATGCATTTGCTTTTTTTTTTTTTTTTTTTTGAACTGGGGATCAAGCTTAAGGTTTTGCAAATGTGAAGCAAGTGATTTACCACTGAACTACATCCCAGCCCTGATGTGTTTGCTTTTTGAGTGTTGTCTGTGTGACTGTGGTGAGTCCCAAGTCTTCACTTGTATCTCAGTATTTCCAGTCGTGTGTTGTGATGAGGGCTTGTTTCCAGGTGTGTCAGATGGTGACTGTGTAGGACTCTTGACAGTTTGTGTCTGTATCAGAGACGAGTGCATGTCTGCGTGGGTCTGTGACAGTGCATCTGTGCTTTCTGTCTGGGGTGGATGTCCGTTTATATTCCTGTGACAGATTCTAGGTAGCTATTTCTGGACAATTTGTTTCAGTGACAAGGCTGTGTGTCTGATGCCATGTGTCTGTGACCAAGTCTATGTCCACTTTTGTGACACTGCTTATATGGCTCTCAGATCACATGCCTCCCTTTGAACAACATGTGTGTGTCTAGAGCATCTGTGTATCTTGTGACAGACTCTGAGTCCCTCATTTCTGGGATTGTACAAGTCTTTGGTATCTGATGGTGCCATGTACCAATATATGACAAATTTTGTCAGTGTCTGGCAGGACATTTGTGTCATTACATGGCATTGGAGGTCTCCTGGAGTGCCTCTTTTGGTAACGCATTTCTGGACATCATTTTTTGACATGTGTCTGTATGTGTGCCTATGACAAATTTACATGAATGTGTTGATGTCTCATGTTGTATCTTTGGAGTGCATGTCTGTCTTCCTGGGGTGTGTGAGGCCTTCTCTAACCATTTTCACAAATTTGTGCCAAAATCTGTCTAACTGCTTCTCTATACCAGCATTTTTCCAGGTCTTTCAGCCCCTCCCTCTCTCACTGGGAAGCACAATCCCCCCAATAATCACCCCCTGCTGTTCTAGATTGCAGGCTTCCGGACTGGGCCCAGGGCTGTTTCAGGTCTGATTAGGTTCTAGGCTGCAAAAACCTTGTAGTCTGGGCACCTGAACTCTGGCCTTTGAGGGGTGTGCGGTCCATAACAGTAGTCAAGTGTTATCCCTCCCTGGAAACTGGACAGGTTCTTCTAGGGGCCTGATTTCAGTTTTGAGGCCAGGGCCAATGGTCGCCTGGAGGAATGGTCCTGGGTGAGAAGCACCCTTCTAGACAGGATCCTAGTTAGCCCCAGGCTCGGATTCTTAAAAGACTGTCTGGCGTTATCTCTGCGCTAATCTCAACGCTGCGGCGGCGGCAAAGCAGCTTCCTGGGAAAGGAGGCTGCGCAGTTTTTTAAGTGTACACACATACACACACACCCACCAACAACAACCTCGCGCAACAACCAAAACAAACGCGGTTGCTGCAAAGGGATTCCCAGAACCGGTTTCCTCTCCGTGTGCGCCCCCATCATTTGCATGCAAGCCCCGCCTCCATGGAAGAACCAGGCTTGTATTTGCATAAGGGGGCACTTGAAACATTGCGGGTGGTATGCAAATAAGGGTTGGCTCCGATTGGCTGGGATACAGCAGGTGCCGCGTCCGGATTGATCAAAGCCAGGTGGGCGGAGCTGTCGCGCAGGGCGACTCTCCCGGGAGGCGCGTGCCCCAGCTCAGTAGCGTTGGGGCTGGCGCGCGCGGCGAATCTTAACGCTGCGCTGTCTGCGGACGCTTCCGGGCCACCAGTTTCCCTGCCTTCCACCCTGGCGCCCCCCAGCCCTGGCTCCCCGGCCCCGCTGCCCCGGGCTTCTACGCCCTGCGGGCTTAGCGGATTCAGCGGGCTCAATCTGCGCAGCACCTCCTCCATGTTGAACAAACCTCTGCAAGGGCTTCCTGCGCCCCCTGTGACCCCCACGCAGCCGCCAGGTGAGCGCAACCTCCCCTACTGCGTCCATGTGGGGTGGGCTGGAATGGTGGGTGGCAGTGCGTGGGGGAGGGAATCACGGGTGAGCTTAGCACGCAGCCACCCTGACTCCCTCGCCTCCGCCTGCGTAGGAGGCAAGGATCGGGAAGCGTTCGAGGCCGAGTATCGACTCGGCCCCCTTCTGGGGAAGGGGGGATTTGGCACCGTCTTCGCGGGACACCGCATCACAGATCGACTCCAGGTATCTACCTTGAGGGTCTTGGGAGGGTCAGGTGTATTTGGCGGGGACGGGGATCCTGGGACTATAGGATGTTAGATGACCCAGAGAGAGCCTGCAATGTGTCTAGTAGGGTCATGAAGACCAGGATTCGGGTTGCTGGGGGTGTGAGCGCGCGTGCGCGTCTGTCGCGGTCCAGGTGGGTATGGGGGGCCAGAATTCAGGGGGGAGAATCAGGAGGTCCAAGGAGTTTGACTGGAGAGTGTGCACTCGAGGACACTATAGACCCCAGGACCTAGAGAATGTGTGCATGTACTGGAAGGTGGGGGCCTAGACACGAGATCTGGGGGATCTTGGAGGTAGACGTGAAGTCCTGAGGACCAGAACCCTGGTGCAGAGTTGGTGTCCTGGAGATAGGAAGGAAATTTGAGGGCTTGAGGCATCACGAAATTTCCACCTCAGGGCTTGGGCTATACCTTATTGGTAGAGTGTTTGCCCAGCATGATTAGGTTCAATCTTCAATGCGGAAAAACAAATATAGAATATGAAGAAAATGTACAACCAAATCCCTGGAAGCTGAGGGGTCCCGATGCCTGAGAAGAGATCCCTAGGCTAGGGATGGTGGGAGAGGTGAACTTGGTTGGGGGGGAGTCTTGTGGGGCAGGGTATTAGTCCTGGCTCATTGTGGGCTGTGGTGTGGCTGGGGACCAGAAATACTGGGGTGCTGGGAGAGTTATTGGAGGTTTTCAAATCTCTGGACTGGGAGGGATTTGGGGGTCACCTGCTGGCCCCTTACCTCAGCCCACTTCTCCAGGTGGCCATCAAAGTGATTCCTCGGAATCGTGTGTTGGGCTGGTCTTCCTTGGTAAGTATCCTTGGTGTGCTTCACTTATTGACTCCTTCACTAATGATGAAACCCCCCCACTTTTTCTAAAGGATGTGTAGTCCCTGGGCCCTGTAACCGTGAGAACGCTCCACCAGACCATGTTTACTACCTTGGAGTGACATACAGTTCTGATTCACCTCAATTTCCCCAGAGCTCTAGATTCTCCCCTCCAACTCTTTTCTCATCCCCCTTTTAAAAGCTGCTGTGGGGGCTGCCCACAGGGCATGCTGGAGGGGAAAGAAGGGCAGAGGTCACTGGTTGCCATGGTGATGCTGGCTGCTTCTCTCCTGCCGCCGTTAGCGCTCTAACGGACATAAGGGCGGGTCTGTGCAAGCTGTAGAAGCGAAAGCGCCCTCTGGCGGGCTTTTAGGAGACTGCGCCTGCGCATGCCGTGAGACCCACAAGGAGAGGATGCACCTGCGCAGTAGCAGGAATGTGCATCTCCGTGAGAAAACGTCTGCAGCTGTGCAAGTCATTGGCATGGCCGGTAGAGGGCCCCCCTCAGGCAGGAAGGCTCTTTCTGGCAGTCACTGCCTGACAGGGCTTAGGAGGGTTATTGAGCAATTGTAGGTACTTGGTTACAGTTAAGTTATCGCAATAACATTGAGTATTTATTCTTTGGCAGGTCCTTTGCAGTTAATCATCATAAACTATCTGAAATAAATATTGGACACCCATATGTCAGTTCGAATTTTAGATATTTAGGCAAAATACTTCATATTTATGAAAGCCCATTTTCTGCTACATTCCCATCTACCAACTGCTTTCCCCTGTTCAACTCATATTTTCTCTCCTTTTCACCTCCAGTCAGACTCGGTCACATGCCCCCTGGAAGTGGCACTACTATGGAAGGTGGGTGAAGGCAGTGGGCATCCTGGTGTGATCCGTCTGCTTGACTGGTTTGAGACACCAGAGGGCTTCATGCTGGTCCTTGAGAGGCCTCTGCCTGCCCAGGATCTCTTTGACTACATCACAGAGAAGGGCCCACTTGGTGAAAGCCGAAGTCGCTGCTTTTTTGGCCAGGTAGTGGCAGCTGTCCAACACTGCCATACCCGTGGAGTTGTCCATCGTGACATTAAGGATGAGAACATCCTGATAGACCTCCGCCGAGGCTGTGCCAAACTCATTGATTTTGGCTCTGGTGCCCTGCTTCATGATGAACCCTACACTGATTTTGATGGTAAGGCTTCCCTAAATCTCATGGATTTTTTTTTTTCTAAACCTTTGTGCTTCTGACTTTCTCACCTTGAGCTCCAGTGGTGGGTTTTCTTGTAATACTTGACCTATATTGTACCTTTATAAGGTTCTTGATTTCTAATACTGAGGAGTCTCATCCTTGGCCATCTCATAAAAAGTCTATCTTATATTGATCCAAAATCATCCTGGGCTTTTAATCTAATGAAGGGATCTTGTTATTATGAGTTATTTTATTTTTGGTAAGGGGATTCTACTGTTACTTTTGCAGTGGTGCTTTACACTTGAGCTACATCCCCAGCCCTTTCTGTTTATATATTGAGCCAATTTCTCCCTAAGTTGCTGAGGTTGGCCTTGCTATCCTCCTGCCTCAGTCTCCTTAATATCTGGGATTACAGACTTATACTAATATGCCATGCTCTATTGTTACTTTTTAAGTGATTTTATTCTGTCAAGGGGGCTCTCCTATTTAACTGCTCTTTTTTTGGTGATGGGACTATGATGTTTACAGAGCTACTGTTCTACTAAAGAGATACTGGGCTAGAAGAGGGCAGCATCAGAATGACTTGACTCTTGCTTTTTGTGCAGGGACAAGGGTGTATAGCCCTCCAGAGTGGATCTCTCGACATCAGTACCATGCCCTCCCAGCTACTGTTTGGTCATTGGGTATCCTTCTCTATGACATGGTGTGTGGGGACATACCCTTTGAGAGAGACCAGGAGATTCTGGAGGCTGAGCTCCATTTTCCTGCCCACGTCTCCCCAGGTGAGGCCCTTACAGATCCCAGCCCAGCAGATTTCATCCTTCCAAGGTACTGTTACTCCTACTAATTGCAAATCTCCCCTGTGCTTCTTGGCCCACAGACTGCTGTGCCCTAATCCGCCGGTGCCTGGACCCAAAACCCTCTTCCCGACCCTCACTGGAGGAGATCCTGCTGGACCCTTGGATGCAAATACCAGCAGAGGAAGCACCCCTCAGCCCCCCCAAAGGAAGCCCTGCCCCCTCGGCCTGGTCTGCGCTTCCCTAGGCTTAGCCAGGCTCCCACTGGTTGGAATTCCATGGCTATGCCACAGGGATAGATGGACATCTGTTGACCTGGTTTTACAGGTTGTTAAAATCCAGTATTACTAAGGTCTGTGATTGGGGATTAGGGCGTAGAAGACAAGCCAAGTCTGCCCACTCCCCATTCCAATTTTGTGAAGGAGCCTTCCTCCTAGAGCCTGTGGTCCCTTATTCCGGAGGAGGGAATTCCTTGTATCTTGTTTTGCTAAGGATGGTTATTTGGTTGAAGTTATTTCCCCTTTGAGCCCCAGGACTCTTTGTTCTGACGAGTTGTAATCCCTACACTGGCACCTCCTATTACCACCACACAAACTTAGTTAAAATGCTCTCACTTGGGGCAAGGGTGCTTTCCTTAAAATACCCCAGCAGCTCTTATTTTAGTAAAAGGACCCTTTCCCTTTCTCCTAGCCTAGGGTCCCAGATTCATCAAGCTGCTTGCCAACCTTAACCCAGAATTGCTTTTTCTGGGAAAGGTAATGCCCTATTGTTATCCCAGGGCTCTTTTTTTTTCTTCATTTTTTTTTTCTTTTTCGGTGAGGGGACCCTACTCTGTTATCCCAAGTGCTCTTATTCTGGTGAGAAGAACCTTACTTCCACAGCTTGGGGAAGGAATGGGAGATGGACACCACCGGACACCACCAGAGATTAGGATGGGATGGATGGTTTCTGGGGGATGGGCTGGGGGAAATAAGTCTTGCTGTTTGTTCTCCTGGGGACTCCCCTCTCCAACTTTTGCGATTCTTGCTGCCTCCGCCTGAGCCAGGATTGTCCAATTGCTACAATGTAAATACTTGTGTATTGGAGGGAGTGGAGCTACAAAGTGTGCCCTCCTGTCCCTTCTCCCCTGCCTGGATTATTTAAAAAGCCATGTGTGGAAACCCACTATTTAATAAAAGTAATAGAATCAGAATTGACTGGCCGTGCATCTACTGTAGGCTAAGCTGAGAATGAGATGACCTCCGTGAACCTCGGTCTTCTGTGTCATAGAGCCCTTTTATGGGTTTATTTCAGCTGGTCCACAAAAATGTTTCCTCCTCATTTTAAAAATATTTTTTATTAGCTATTGGTGGACATTTATTTGTTTGTTTATATGTGGTGCTGAGGATTGAACCCAGTGCCTCACACATGCTAGGCAAGCACTCTGCCACTGAGCCACAACTCCAGCCCTTCTCCTCAGTTTTTGTGTTTCCCAGTGTGTACAAAAGGATTCTTAGAAATGCAGTAAACATTTAGGACACATCACCAAAGAACTACTTCCTCCTTGGCATATTAATAACATCCAGGGTGTAATGACATTTTCAACTGGTCTTAATTTCTTTCCTTGTTCTATCCTGGTTTCCTTTTGACTCAGCTGTACCCTGGCCTACTTCCCATCAAAAGCAACTAACCTGTGAACCTCACCAATTCCCTGGTTTTCTAAGGTGGCACGTTGGCCCTTAATTCCATCAACTCTCCTGTGTCTTGGCTTGCTAACCCTATACAAATCACTGGACGCTCTCCGGCGCAGCCCTCAAAACCTCCCTCCCAGAAGTTTGGGGGCGGGGTCTCGGTGGGAAGGTTGGGGGAGGGAGGAACTTCGGCCCAACCAGAAAGGACCTCAAGAATTTCTGATACGGAAAGGGCCGTACCATCAGAAGAATGTCCCAATAAAGAGCCGAGGTCGAGATGTGGTTGAACCAATGAGATGAAGAGAAAGGATGGGCGGGTAGTATAGAAAGCGGCTTTAGGATCTGATTGAGGGAACACTGGGGCGGATCTAGTAAGAGGTGTGGGCCAGCGCGGATTTGTAACGACGGGCTTAGAGTCCCCCATGTCCTGGTTCTCCCTTTCTCAAAGACCTTGGAGACTTCCCGGGTCAGTACTTCAGCCAGCCTTTACGAAGGGCGGAGAAAAACCACCCCTTTGGCCAGGCAGGCATTCGGCTCCGCCTTAGCTTCAGAGGCCCGGAAGCGGAAGTGATTGACACGGAAGTGGCCTGCTGTTGCCGAGGGGACGGGCCAGGCAGATGCCAACATGGCAGCGGTTGGGGTTGGTGGTTCCACCGCGGCGGCCGGGCCAGGGGCGGTCTCCGCGGGGACTTTGGAGCCTGGGACCACGAGTGCGGGTGAGACGCACAGTGGCCGAGCAGTTGGCGGCGGGGCAGAGGTCGGGATCGCTAAGGGTCGGAAAGATTCCTCACTGAAGTGATAGGGAGCATCACTTTTGCAGCGGGAGTGTGTGTGTGTGTGTGTGTGTGTGTGCGCGCGCGCGTGTAAAAGGGAAGGGAGAACGGAACCGAGCATTGCGAGTGTGTTGGGGCGGGGAAGATACCATTGTGAGGGTGGTTGTGGGGAGAGTCCTTCCGCATTTGGAGGGTGAAGACCACTCTGAATATGGAAGAAATTTCCTTTTGGAGAGGATAAGACCATGGAGACCTTTCATTCTGAGTGCAGTAGGTCTTTTCCTATGGAAGGGAGAGCCCATTCTGACGGTGTGGGAGTTCTTCCTTGTAGAAGGAAGAAACTGTTCTGAGGGTGGTTGTTCCTTCCTTATAAAGGGACCTTATAAATTGTCAGCTAGGGTGGGGCAGGCCCTTCCTTATGACTATAGGGTCCATTTTGAGGACGATGTTTGTCCTTCATTATATGTGGAAAAGACCTTTCTGTGGTGATCCCTTCCTAATGGAGGTAGAATTTATTGTATGTTGAAGTGGGAGGGTCCTTCCTTATAGGTCACAGAAAGAACATTGAGAGTGCCAGGTCCTTCCTTATAGCACAGTGAGTTCATTGTGAGTGTGGGTAGAACAAGGAATTATTCTTTGGCTGGAGAAGGAGGGCGTGCAACGTTAGGAGGACAGAACATGTGTAATATAGGGAAGTATTTCCTTATATGGTTGAGGGAACCAGACCATTCTTAGTGGGGTTACTGTTCATTATATGAGGTTCAGTCCTTGGGACAATGGGGGAGATGAGAGAAATACCATTTCTTGGGGGGTAGACATACCTTAAACAATAGTCTCATTCCCTGTATTTGGGGTATTTTCTTTACATGACCCTCATTAAACAAGACCATCATTTCATATAAATTCCCAATTTGTTCATCCATAAAATGGGAATCTTCATAGTTTCTTAAGAATCAGGGTGATGTAAGAGTCTATTGAGGAAATCTGTAAGATTCCTTTACCTGGCGATAGGCACCCAGTGAGCAATATCAATAAATGTTGAGAATGTAGTTGTTGGTATTCTGTTAGAGAGAGAGGGAGGGGAGATGGGGTGGATGTTTAGGGCCTGCCCTAGCCATTTCCTGACATCTCAGCAAGGATTCAAGACATGAGCTGGACAGAATGGACCTACTTGTCCGTTTTTAGCTCTCCTGCCTGTGGTTGAAGGAATGGAAGCAGGTAGGGGTCAATCCCTCATTGGGTCAGGGTGGACAGGCAGATGGAGGAAGTTGCAGTGGCTCAGATAATCCTGGTTGAAAAGGGAGAGGGGTTGGGTGGTGGTTTGGCTATGCCCCAGCAGCTTCTGACCCCCTCCTATCCCCTGCCCCTTCCATTCCCTACAGCTCACCGGCGCCTCAAGTACATATCCCTAGCTGTGCTGGTGGTCCAGAATGCCTCCCTCATCCTCAGCATCCGCTACGCCCGCACGCTGCCTGGGGATCGCTTCTTTGCCACAACTGCTGTGGTCATGGCCGAAGTGCTCAAAGGTCTCACCTGCCTCCTGCTGCTCTTCGCACAGAAGAGGGGTACGAGCCAGGGAGGGGTTGTTGGGAAGGACTCCCCACATACCTGTATGTGTTCACATGGAGGGTTTGCTGTGTGAGTATCCCCATGTCTGTGAACCTGCCTGGGGATTATGTAAGTGCACCTAAGCTTCTTTGCTTTCCACAGCATCTACACTTTTATACCCCTAATAAGTTGGGGATGTAGAAATGAGATCGTACACCCATGAGGTAGCAGGGAACTCACATAGTTTTTGATTGGTTTACCTTTAGCTTTGTATAATGGAGAATTCCAAACTTAGACAAAATTAAAGAATGATAAAATAGTAAAATATCCATGTATCCATCCCCCAGATTTACAATTATCAACTCATGGCCACTTTGCTCTGAAACAGCATCAATGGTTATCCAGTCAGTGCTAGCCAATATGTCTGTCTATGTAGTTCTCCTCATATTATTTCAAAGTAAATCCTTCCTTAATTTATTTTTTATTTATTTTAATTTGTCCTTATTATCTTTATGCTGTTGTTGTTTTTGCGGTACTCTGGATTGAACCCTGGGCTTTTCACATTCTAGGCAAGTGCTGTACCACTGAGCTATGTTCTAAGTCCCCCTTATTGTCTTGGATAAGTTATTTGATACATATTTTTTAAGGATAATACCAGTGAGGTATGGTGGCACACACCTATAGTACCAGCTACTCAGAAGGTTTAGGCAGGAGTATTTTTTGAGTTCAGGAATTCAGAGTCAGGTGCAGTGACACACACCCATAATTCCAGCAACTTGGGAGGCTGAGGTAGGAGGATTGCAAGTTCAAAACCAGTCTCAGCAATTTAGCGAGGCCCTAACCAACTTAGTGAGAACCTGTCTTAAAATAAAAAGGGCTAGTGATGTGGTTCAGTGGTTAAGCACCCTTGGGTTCAATTCCTTGTACCCCCCCAAAAAAATAAATAAATCAGAAATTAATATTAAAATATTCAATCTGAATTCAAATTTATGATGATTTCTTAAGTGTCATAAAAGTTTTTAAAATGCCAGGCATGGTGGTACATGCCTGTAATCCCAGCAGCTTGGGAAACTGAGGCAGGTGAATGTTAGTTCAAAAGCTTGTCCTCACAGGACAACATTTGAGATGGGAAGTGAGAGATAGCTAAAGACTGCATCACAGGCCTTCAGCTTTTTTTCCCCCCAGTGCTGGGCATTTAAACCAGGGGTAGGGGTATGTTTCTCCCAGCCCTTTTAAAAAAATTATGTTGAAGCAGGGTCCTGATAAGTTGCCCAGGCAACTCAAACTTTGGATCTTCCTGCTTCAGTCTCTTGAGTGGCTGGGATTACAGGCATGTATGACTACTATGCCCAGCCAGGCTTTTTTTTTGTGTGTGTGTGTGGTGCTGGGGATGGAACCCAGGGCCTTGTGCATGGGAGGCAAGCACTCTACCAACTGAGCTATATCCCCAGCCAGGCTTTTAGCTCTTATCCACAATTTTAATTTGTTTTTCTTTTATTTGAAACAGAGTCTCCATGATATGTTTCAAAGCCTGATCTACTCAAACTTGTAGATTCAAGCCATCCTCTTGCCTCAGCCTCCTGAGTAGGTGAGGCTTGGGTTCCATTCCAGCACTGCAAAAAAAAAAAAAAAGAAAGAAAGAAAGAAAAGGAAAAAGTAGCCTGACCTAATGTGGACCTCTTGGTAGACTGTTTTTTATTTTCCCATTTGGTGTGATATTCACAATTCACCACAGTAATATGAATATGCATATTATATTGTATGCTTGTTTATGGCATACAATCTTGTTACCTTATTTATTTGGAGTACTGGGGATTGTATGCTTGGAATCCCAGCTGCTTGGGAGGTTTGGGCAGAAGAATCACAAATCCTAGGCCAGCCTGAACAACTTAGTGAGACTCTGTCTAAAAATAAAGCAAAAAAGAAAGGTCTAGGGGCTGGGTACAGTGATGCACACCTGTAATCCAGTGACTTGGGAAGCTGAGGCAGGAGGATAGCAAGTTGGAGACCAACCTTGACAATTTAACAATACCCTCTCTCAAAGTTTTTTTTTTTAAGGGACTGGCACCATCATGATAGTGTCCATCTATAATCCCAGCAACTCAGGAGGCTTAGGCAGGAGGTTTGCAACTTTGAGGCCAGCCTCGACAATTTAGCAAGGCCCCAAGTAACTTAGTGAGACCCTGTCTCAAAAAATAAAAAGGACTGGTTAAGTGCCCCTGGGTTCAATCCCCAGTACCAAAAAGTTTAAAAAAGGGGCTGGGGATGTAGCTTAGAGGGTTTTCCCCAGTACACAAAAAAGCGGGACTGGTGTATAGATCAGTGGTCAAATACTTCTCTAGCACGTGTGAGGCCTTGGGTTTAATCTCCAGCACCAAAAGAAAAAGGAAAGAAAGAAAAACAAATTGAGGTGAGCTTTGCAAAGGCTGTGTTGATGATTCTCAGTTGGTCACTGGAACAGGTTCTGGCCAGACTTCTGCTTAATAATCAAGACTGCATTAATCCATGGGTCGGGGGAAACTGATTGGTGTGTCTAGGGCTGGCTCCTGCTCACACGTGGTTTATGGGCCACTAAGGAGCTAAAATAGTATAAGTCTAAAAATCTAGCCTTGAGTTTATCTCAGTAGTAGCATGCATGAGATCCTAGGTTCCATCTCTAGTACCAAAAAATAAAACAACTAGTCTGAAACTTCCCCTGTTTGGAATATGACTTTCCACCCGAACTCCAGGGCTTCTACTTCATAAGTTCCTGGATAGTGATGATTTTTTCATTGTACAAACATGTATTAAGTGCTTACTCTGAATGGGGTTCTATGCCAGGGTGGTGGGCTCTCAGGTGAATGAAGTGTGCTCTATGATTATCAGACACAGTGTGATGGATAATTTGTGTGTGTGTGGTGCTAGGGATTGGACCCAGAGTCTTGTACATGCTAGGCAAGCACCCTACCTACATCCTCAGCCCTTTTTTCTATTTTATTTTGAGACAGGGTCTCGCCAAGTTGTCAAGGCTATCCTTGAACTTGAGATCCTCCTGCCAAAGCCTTTTAAGTAGCTGGGAATAGAAGCATGTGACAGCACACCCTATTTGAATGATTCTTCTGGGGACATTTTCTTTTCTTTTTCTTTTTTGGCAGTGCTGGGTATAGAAACTTGGGACTCTGCCTGCTAGACAGGTGCCTTGCTACTGAACTACCCCCAACTCCTTTTGCAGTGAATAAACTTAGTATCAGAAAGGCTTCCTAGAGATATATTTGTACCATAGGGAGAAACTGAGCACAAATGCTGGAGATGTAGCTCAGTAGTAGAAGACATACTTAACATGCACAAGGTCCTGGATTCAATCTCTAGTACTGAAAAAAAAAAAAAAAAAAAAAAACCACAACAAACTTGAGCCCCAGACCTCATTCTAACCCCTAGGGTATTGGGTAGGTGGGGGAGGGCAGGAGCCAGGCCTGGTCTCAAACTTTAGGGGATCCCTATTTTTGATAGTCTTTGTTAAAAGGGACTCTCCTTCTCCCACCTAGGTAACGTGAAGCACCTGGTTCTTTTCCTCCACGAGGCTGTCTTGGTGCAGTATGTGGACACACTAAAGCTTGCAGTGCCGTCTCTCATCTACACCTTGCAAAATAACCTTCAGTATGTTGCCATCTCCAATTTACCAGCTGCCACTTTCCAGGTGAGCCCTGAGCCCAGTATGGCCCCAAGGGAACTGGCTGGGTTGGGGGATAGAGGGTAGGGTGAGGAATGAGCTGCAGAAAGCAGGGGCTGTGTCATTTGGGACTCCCTGTCATCTGGAACTCCCTCAATCACAGTGTCCTCATCTGTGAGAACTGGGAATAGGGGATGCTCATGGGGATGCTGGGAAAATTGAAAGAAATACCTGGAAAGAATCCTAGGTTAGATATTCATGGGCAACCTTGTTAAATAGAGAGCCAGGATTCTAGGGCTGAATTGCCTGGGTTCAAATCTCAATTCTGCTACTTTACAGCTGTGTGATTTTGGGGCAAGTCACCTAATGTCTTTATGCCTGAGTTTCTTAGTTTATGTATCTTTGAATTGGAGGTTACAATGATGCCCACCTTCCTATGGTGGTTTCATGAGGATTAAGTGAACTTATTTACATAGTGTTTAGATCCACACCAGCACCTACAATGCACTATGTAAATATTTGCTGGTTTTATTATTGTTGTGGTTGACTCATCACAAAACCTACCTGCTGTAAGATGGTTTATATACTTCAGCCTTATTTTACAGATGAGATTGCCAGGGCTCAGACAGGGCAAATGCTTTGTCCCTGATCACACAGCCAGAAAATGGGATTGGGATGTAAACTTGGGTGTAGCTTGGGACTTCCTGGCACCACCACCCTTCTGTGTACTCTCTGGGAGGGTCCTTGGACCCTTGAACCACAACTCAACCAATGGCTAGTGACTGGCTCTTTTTGCTATTTTTATTTTCACCCATTGACATCCAGTGTCCCTCCATTGTGCCACAGTGGGTGCTGTCCCCCTACACACACCTACTGGGACTCAGGATGAGCCCTCAATATCTTCCACATGTCACTCACAGGTGACCTACCAACTGAAGATCCTGACCACAGCACTGTTCTCCGTGCTCATGCTCAATCGCAGCCTCTCCCGGCTACAGTGGGCCTCCCTGCTGCTCCTCTTCACTGGTGTCGCCATTGTCCAGGCACAGCAAGCAGGTGGGGGTGGCCCACGGCCACTGGATCAGAACCCAGGGGCTGGCCTAGCAGCTGTTGTGGCCTCCTGCCTCTCCTCTGGCTTTGCAGGTGTCTACTTTGAGAAGATCCTCAAAGGCAGCTCAGGGTCCGTATGGCTTCGCAACCTGCAACTGGGCCTCTTTGGCACAGCTTTGGGCCTAGTAGGGCTCTGGTGGGCTGAGGGTACTGCTGTGGCCCGCCGTGGCTTCTTCTTTGGGTACACGCCTGCCGTCTGGGGCGTAGTACTTAACCAAGCCTTTGGCGGGTTGCTGGTGGCTGTTGTTGTCAAGTATGCTGACAACATCCTCAAGGGCTTTGCCACCTCCCTGTCCATTGTGCTGTCCACTGTTGCCTCCATCCGCCTCTTTGGCTTCCACTTGGACCCATTGTTTGCCCTTGGCGCTGGCCTCGTCATTGGTGCAGTCTACCTCTACAGCCTTCCCCGAGGTGCAGTCAAAGCCATAGCTTCTACTTCTGCCTCTGCCTCTGGGCCCTGCATTCACCAGCAGCCTCCAGGGCAGCCACCACCACCGCAGCTGTCCTCCCACCGAGGAGACCTCATCACGGAGCCCTTTCTGCCAAAGTCAGTGCTGGTGAAGTGAGGGCTGGTGGTGGGGGGTGGGGGGGACAGGGAGTGGGGACGGGGTGAAGGATGTCAGGCATCTGTAGGACCCAAGTCATCACCAGGGCCTGGCTCCTCTGGGGTTGGAAGATGGTCTTTTCTCCCAGGACACTGAGACTTCTGGGGGGGTGCGGGGCTAGGGCTGGGTGTCAACATGAACCCCTCCTGGTAGACTGACATCCCCCATAAGGGGGTTTTTAGAGCTGCTTCCTCTGCCCCAGTCTAACCTCTTTAGGCATAGGGTTGGGAAAATGGTCATTCAAGGCATTTTGTCTTGTCTACCCACGCCTGTTAGCTGGAGGTGTCTTGTCTCTCATGCCTGGGACAGTCCCTTCCAGTCATCCCTCCAATTTTGTAAAGACAGACTGGACAAAAGCTCTTTAGTAATGACTAATGCCTACCTGTGGGGTTCTGTTTCCCATCCTTTGAGGCCTTCTCTCCTCCCTTACCATCACCCTGGGTCATGTTGGCTTGGTCTCTTTTGTGGCCTTGGGGCAGCTTCCCTGGCACTGAGACCCTTAAAGATGGGCCTGCTGCAAACACCCAGGGCAAGAAAGAGGCATGAGCTGAGAGTTTGCATCTGGGGGAGGGTGCAGTAGGGGCCATTTGTTTTTTAGTCATTTGGGGATTTGTGGTATAATCAGATCATTAATGATCCAGAGTGTGGGAAGTGGGGAAGGGAGGTCCTTGAAGTGGTTAAATCTCATTGAACTTAAGACACTGACGGTTGCCAGATGCAGGGTTATTTTCTGAGAAGAAAATTAAAGCTGCCAATCTCACTTTTGCTACCCCGTTGGCTGTATTATGAGGTACCCTTACTTCAAGGTGGGGTGTCTCCGATTTGATGAGCCGTGAAACCTGCTCCCTGCACTCCCCAAAGCTTATTAACCCCTTAACTGTATCCCAGGGGATGTGTGTGTGTGTGTGTGTGTATGTATGTATGTGTGTACATGTGTGCACGCACACGCGTGCTCATGGGAGATGCCTGGGCTGTCTTTGCTATATGTAAATAGGGCCACTGGATCTTTATTTTATTAATTTGTCTGATTTTTTGGTTTGTTTTCTAAGGAACTGTAATGAACAAATGTCAGGATACCCAATGCCAAATAAAGATGTTGTATTTATTTAGTCCACGTGTAGCTTTCTGACCCAGTGGGCCCTCTCCGCATAAGCACTGTTACTAACCCCAGGACTACCAGCCTTACTGCCACCACCCTCGCTTGCCTAGGAAACCCGACTGCTAGCCCACCCCAGCTTTCTGTGTTTCTCTTTCCTCCCCATTCCCACCACAGGTTGCTCACCAAGGTGAAGGGTTCGTAGCCGCCGGGATTGAAGACGTTGGCCTGGCGTCGTTCTCCCTTCTTGCCCTGGCCCAGCTGGGACCAAACTCTGATCAGTATTAGGGGTAGGGTGAGGCAGACACCGAACTCCCTATCCACACTGCCCCTGCTCCCATGCGGGGCAGACTGACTAAGCTTTCTTTGTTAATGTCCCACCTCAACCCTCAGCCCTTGCCACCCCAGTATTATTTCTTAGGTGAGTTTTGCAAATAAAATGTGTTTTGGATCTTGCCAGCTTGGGTTGGGGAGCCTGAAGAGTGAGAGGGAGGAAGCACTTAAGCCTCATGAACATGATCCACAGTAAAGCTTTTATTAAAAACACCAGGGGGGCTGGGGGAATAGCTCAGTGGTAGAATGCTTGCCTAGCATGTACAAGGCCCTGGGTTCGATATCCAGTATCGCAAAAAGAAAAGAAAAAAGAAAATTGCCAGGGCTCCAGAGAACAAAGGTTCAGTCCTGCTGCTTGGTTCGGGAAGCCTCAGCATTGGCCCGGAGCACAGCCCCTGGGGATGGGTATGGACGCTGCTGGAAGAGGGGCCCCGCTGCTGTCGTGTCAGCACCCGTTTTAGCCTCATTCCGCTTGGGGAGTCCTGTTGACCATGTGCCCCTGGAGGTGATAGAGGGTCAAGGGGGTGGGAAAGGGGTATAGTGATCATCCCCCAACCAGTCAAGACTGAGAAAGGAGATGGTGAGGAGGATGGTATTCACAGGTGCAGTGAGAGTCATGAAGAAAGAGAAGGGCTCACATGGGGTTGTCACTTACCGGGGTGCATCAGAGTATGAGCTGGGGTCCATGGGGTCTAACTCGTCATCCTTTCGGCTTGCCACTAGGGAAGTAAATGGCAGGGGGAAGTTCTTCAATTGAGGCAAAAGGAGTCCCTCATCACATAGCCCCCCATCCCAGGAAAAAAAATGGAGCCTGTAGCTGCAATGGACCACAGCATCCTTCTTCAGGATACCGGGTTCAGGCACCCGCCTGAGAGAGGGCTTCTTCATATTGTATGCCCTGGCAAGCTGAGTGCCTCACCCAAGTCCCAGCCTGCTTTGCTTACCCTTCTTGCTCTTGGGGTAGGGAGCCAGTTCCTCCCTGCGATGGTGGCGCCGTTCTTTGACCTCTTCCCGGTCTGCCTTGTCATACCCACGGTCCCGATCCCGTTCCCTGTCCCGTTCTCTCTCTCTGTCTACTTTGTCATAGCTACGTTCTCGATCTCTGTCAGACTTGTCATGGTTCCGATCTGACTTGTCATGGCCCCGGTCCAGCTTTTCATGGCCCCTGTCCGACTTCTCATGGCCCCTGTCTGACTTCTCATGGCTCCGGTCTGACTTCTCCTCAGCATCTAGGGAAAACATGAAAGTCCTGAAGTGACTTTCTCCCATTCCAGGACCCAGCAGTCTCCACCTTTAACATCCTCACTAGCCTGGGGCTGGGGCTGCTTGGTCTCATCTGCCCCTCCTTGATCCACTAAAATTTACTTGGCCCCTCTCAGAACTGCAAGTCTCGAGGCACCACTGGATCTGCCAACTCACCTGCATTACTGCTCCTGAGCTTCTTGGCAGATTTGGTAACCACGGAGTTGGGGTCATGTGGGGAGAGCCAGGACACGAGGTCTGTGTCCACATTCCAGTAGTAAGGGAGCCCGCTGTGGGGCAGTGGGAGGGAAGGAGTGTCAGCACAGATGTCTTCTACTTGTAAGAACTCTTTGTCTCCCCAATCTCTGCCTATATCTGCCCCATGTCAGGACCCCAGATCTCTTCCCGTGTACCCTATATGCCCCACAGTCAGGGACAACAAGGAAGGGCAAACTCAAAAGTCAGTTGCCCTTCCCCCCCAGGTCCCCAGGCTCACCAGGAAGGGTCGAACACCTTGTACCAGCTGGGTGGCAGGCCCTCCAACCGGGTGGCCTCATAGTCCACAGGATCATCATCATAGTCCTCAGCAATGATCTCTTCCTCCGGTTCTAGCAGAACGAGGAGGAGGAGGAGGAGGAGGAGGAGGAGGAGGAGGAAAGAGGAGAAGAGGGGAAGAGGAGGAGGGGGAGGAGGGGGGGGAGGAGGAGGAGGAGGAGGAGGAGGAGGAGGAGGAGAGCAGTTAAGGAACAGGGGAGTTCTCATCCTACAGTCAGGGCCTGGAGAGGCACACTCATATCCACACAAATCACATGTGGAAGACACTTGGGTGTATGTGTGTGCCAGGAAGCAAATGAAGTACTTCTTGCATTTCAAGCACATCTGTTTTAGGGAATTTGCCAGAAAATTTACCTAAATCTTTTGGTTCTGGGTCCAGACGATGAGTTTATAGTGTTATCCAAACCTATCTGTTTTCAGAGTTGATAGGAATTCATTAAAAAAATTATCCATGTCATGCTGGGGGTATAGCTCAGTGGTAGAGCACTTGTCCAGCATGCACAAGGCCCAGTATTCCCAAGAAAAAATTTATCCATATCCATTCAGTTCCTGAGTTCATGTTATCCCAACCTATGTAGATGAAGTGAGTTTGATCAGCAAGGGGGTTATCTAAAAATAATGTCCAATCTATTCAGCTTCCAAGTTTGGTGTGTACAGGGTTCTTGATTCCTCTATATTGAGTAGCAAGAGTTTGGGTAGCAAAAGAGACTTATCCAAATATTGCTCTGAATCCATTAAGTTTCTGAAGTCTTAGTAAGCCTGCAACAGATGTCAGTTAATATCAATAGAATAAAAAGTGTCTACTATTAGCTCAGTGCTGGCTATCAGTAGATCCTATAGCAGACTTTAGCTGTGGATATAATTAACAATGAAATGTAGATGCCAGCAATGGCAAAATGACTGTCACACAGTAGGCCTGAAATAGATATTAGATATAATCATCAATATTGCTAATAAGATGTATTTCTACATCAGCAGTGCACCTAGTACTTAATAGGCTTAAAAGAAATGTCAATGATATGAAATTGGGGGTGTAGCTCAGTGGTAGAGCACTTGCCTAGCATACTCAGAAACCTGGGTTCAATCCTTAGCACCACCAAAACCCAATACTCTTAATACTATTAACCACAAGTTCTATGCCTGGCACACAGTGGTCTTGTAATAGATATCAATAAGGAAATAGTATGATACATTTTTTAGTGCCTGGCACACCATAGCCTAAAATATATACCATGTTTTAATATTATTGACCATAAGATATAATTAGCAGCCAGAAACACAGTAGGCCTAAGTGATAGATCCTAACCATCATTTTAGACTGTTAGGCATAATAAGTATGCCATGTTCTTAGGTCCCAAATACATGTCAGCTGTTGATATGGTGAACAATAAAGTATACGTCACCACTGTTGTGTCAATCACCAGAGGACCTGTGAAACACATGCTATCTATAGTAGACAACAAAACATCACCCCACCACTATACTTGATAACAAGAGACTGCAGGATTTGTCAACTATCCTTCCTATTAGATACCATGTAGTTAAACCCTACAGATTGATTCAGAGATTTATTTTAATTATTTTTTGAAATTGTGTCTCATGATTGTTGTCCAGACTGGCCTAGAACTCCTGAGCTCAAGAAATTCCCCCCACCTTGCCTCACGCTCCTGAATATCTTGGTCTGTAGGTGCACGTCATTGCACCACCTTGATTCATGGATTGAACATGGCATCTGATATGGGTATTGATAAGGATGAAATATCTAACCTCCAACCCTTCCTACATACAGTGCTTAGCACACAGTAGGAATGGATGTCAGTAAATAATATTGTTAGCAATGAGATGCCTGCCATGTCACTGGTTGGGGAACACTAGGCCCTTGCTGGTTACCAAGTGCCGACATAAAAACAAAGTGCCTGTCAAGACTGGCAAATCGTAGGCCCATCTACTCTTAGCTTTCTCACCAGGCTCCAGATGTTTCAGGATCCCTCTCTTGGCCAAGCGGGTCTGCAGTGCAACCGGCAGCGGCATAGCGGTGGGTGACAGACCTAGGGACGGAAAGACAAGACTGAAAATCAGTTCAAATGAAGAATCTAATCTAGATCTAATAACCAAGAATCTCCCTGAAGCCTGTACTACTCTTACGACCCTCCACCTACCTAACTGCACCAATAGCTAGACTAACAATCTACGTGCTAAGAGATGGAAGAGATAGGTGGCAGTATCACCAAAATTCTCACCAACCCTGCTCCGAGACCGGATGCTGCAGGACCCAGTTCCACTTCCAGGCACAGGCTCCGCCCACTGTTGAGTGTGCCATGTGCCGCACCCCTGCACCCCAGAAGTGGGCTCACCCACTGTCCCTCAAAGACTGCTGGGTGGGAGGAACTAAGGCATTGGGATGGGGGAGCTGGATGCAACACCTCCTCCAGATCTAAAAATATGTGCCCACCCCAGGATTACCAAAACAATCGTGCGGGTAGTGGAAAAGCTGTTAGACCGGCCGACACACCCTCGTCGCCACTATTATCACCAGTACCACGCGAATCTATATTTTTCCCCCTCGAAGCACAGAATGAGGTCCTCTTCCCCGAAGCCTTGAGGTAACTGGGCGACGCAAGGGCTGCAGCGAACTGATGACGCAAACATAGCTGACCAATAAGAGTGCTCCTTTGGCTTGACGAGTAGCGAAGCGACCCAATCGTTTCCCTGGACGAGGTGAAAAGCTCGCGCGCCTATATGCGTTGACACTGGGGGCGTGGCCTGGTTAGGGTCCCGCCAGACTGCGCCGCCAGACGCGGGCGCCATGGAGGAGCCTTGGTACGACAACAGTCACAGGCACTGGGACTGCGGTTGCGGCGCCCAGGCCAGCCATGGGAGGTGGATGGGAGACACACAGGCCACACAGTGTCACGTACCGAACTCGGGAGACTCTCAGAAACTTAACTCCTTCCGCCCCCTCACCTGGCTCCTCCCACTCAGGCTCTGTTAAGAGAATCCACAGTTGTGTGCTTGAGTAGGTGTGCAGTACGGACTACTAGACGTTTCCCCTGACTTCGTATCTCATAGTCCCTCTTTGTTATCAAAATGATACCGCTGGTCAAATCCACTTCAGCGGAGGGGGGCTGCGGTGTTGAGTGGAAACCCCCAGGATTATAAAACATGGTTTTTCCCACGTCGCTTTCATAAATAGGGGCGGGGCGTAGATGAGCCTATTTGTGGGCAAGGCGGGGGCGCTGGGATACTCCTTGTGGTCTTTTTGGGTTTTCCCTGGTGTTAGGTGTAAAAGGAGTGGGGCTTGGGTGTACTGGGCTGATCGTCTGAGAAGGGCGTGTCACCAGGCCCTGCTTTAGTAACAGTACTAACTAATTAAATCCCTCTCTCTCTCTTTTTTTTTTTTTTTTTTTTTTTGTGGTACTGTGGATTGCACTCAGGGGTGTTCTTGCCCTGAGCCATTTCTCCAGTCCTTATTTTTTTGAAACAGGGTCACCCTAAATTGCCCTGGCTGACCTCGATTTTGCAACCCTTCTGCCCCAGCCTCCTCCAGAATGGCTGGAATTACAGGCATGCACCACCGTGCCCAGCTAGTTAACACTTCTATATCCCTAATTGAAATGTGCCAACTCAATTTTTAAAAAAAATATTTATTTATTTATTTATTTATTGGTGGACACAACATCTTTGTTTGTATGTGGTGCTGAGGATGGAACCCGGGCCCCACGCATGCCAGGCGAGCGCGCTACCGCTTGAGCCACATCCCCAGCCCCAACTCAAATTTTAATAGGGGTTAAACAGTTGGCTAATTCCTTTGTTGGAATAGAGTAATAATTTTGCCCTTTTGACTCATTTCTCTCTTGAGGGGGGGGGGAAGGTGATAAGACAATCTTGTTGCTTTTGGGGGGAGGGTAGTTGGGATTGAATCCAGGGGTATTTTACTATTGAGCTACATCTTCAGCCTTTTTTTTTTTTTTTTTAAGACTGGATCTCACTGATTTGTTGAGGCTGGCCTTGAACTTGTGATCCTCCTGCTTCAGACTCTTTGAGTTGCTGGGATTATAGGCATGCACCCACCATACCAGACTTACTTTTTAAAATTTTGAGTAGGGTCTTACTGAGTTGCCCAGACTGGCCTTGAATTTGGGGTCCTCCTTAGCCTCCCAAGTGACTTGGATTATAGGCATGTGCCATCAAACCTGGCTATCTTGTTACTATCTGAAGTGTTTTTTTTTTTCTGTTGCATGAACTTCCCATTCTGGTGACATGGTTTCTCCCAGTTGGAAAGAGTCCAGATGCTGGGGCCTGGGGTAACCAGCTTGCATTAACTCCATCTTTCCCTTCCTGCTTGCAGCCCATGGCGAATTGTGGATGATTGTGGTGGAGCCTTCACTATGGGTGTCATTGGAGGTGGAGTCTTCCAGGCTATCAAGGGCTTCCGCAATGCCCCTGTTGTGAGTCCTGGCTTTCACTGGTGTTGGGGGTCAGAAGACATACAGAATGCTGCTCTGAAAACTGCTGGGAGCAGCCATTCTATGTGCACTTATTCATTCTGGTACCTGCTCACGTACTGTATGTCAGGCCTGGCTTCTGGACCTGGAATTTTGGAGGAACTACACACAGACCCCTGTCTTCCTTCCACCCATCTAGAGCTGCTCTGTGAAAATAGTATACTTTCAAAACAGTAGTTAGGGTTTGGGGTATGGCTCAGTAGTAAAGCACCTACTAGCATGCCTGAGTCCAGGTTTGATCTCCAGCACTGCAAAGAAAAAAAAAGTCTCCAAATCCTAAATGTGTATGCAAAGCCAGACAGATTTTACCTAAAGACAGATTCTGGGTTAGAAACCTAGATATAGGGAAGTGACAGGAGTTTCGTTGGCAGAGAGAATAAAGTCTTACAATTGAGAAAATCCTTTTTTTCCTCCACTACTAGAGATTGAACCCAGGGACATTGTACCACTGAGCTGCATCCCCAGCCTTTGTTATTTTTTTTTCTTTTGAGACAGCATCTTGCTAAACTGCCAGAGCTAGCCTCCAACTTTGAATCCTACTGCCTCAGTCCTTTAAAGACTCTGAGAAAAGAAAACCCTTTTGATTTATAAAAACATTTATGTATTTATTTTTGGTACTGGGAATTGAATTTAGGGGCACTTGACCACTGAGCCATACCCCCAGCCCTATTTTGTATTTCATTTAGAGACAGGGTCTCACTGAGTTGCTTAGCACCTCACCATTGCTAAGGGTGACTTTGAACTCACGATCCTCCTGAGCCACTGGGATTACTGGCGTGCACCTGGTTTAACATAAACATTTTTGTCTCTTGCTCTCTCACCTGCCCAGAATATCTCATCAAATGTCATTCAAAGATCTCTACAATTTTTACCTCTAGTTCTATCCCTCCCCTCAACTCTGGGAACGCTCTTTCCTGGATCTTTGCCCACATTTCTCATTCTGAAGATCTTAGCACATACTGCTCCCTTCCTTATTTATTTATTTTTTGGGGGTGCTGGGCATGGAACCCAGGACCTCCTGAAGGCATGCTAAGCACGTGCTCTACCACTGAGCTACATTCCCAGTGCCCCACATGTGCTCCCACCTTAATGAGGCCTTTCCTGACTCATCAGTCACTATCAGATCTCTTCATCCTATTTTTTCTAGAGTTTGTGTTACTGTCTGAAACTGTCTCATTTATTTGCTCAGGATCTGTTGTCCCACTACAATATGAGCTCTGAGAGGAAAGGGACCAAATCTACCTTGTTCACTGCTGTATCCCTGCAGTGTGGGGCCTGGTACATAGTAGGTGCTCATTAGCCATTTATTGAGTGAATGAGTGTACAAAGGAATTAATTAGAACTTATCAACCCAACTTTGGCAACACCTATGCTAGAGTGCCCTCAAGACCCCTAGTTCTTGGCTGCTTTTCTACATCTAATAGGTCACCTGTGTCCTTCCCTATTTTTCTTTTTTTTTGTATGTGTGGTGCTCAGGATTGAACCCAGGGGCTCAGAAATGCTAGGTAGTGCTCTGCCACTGAGCTACATCCCAAGCCCACCTTTTTCCTCTCTTTTTAAAATATTTTTCTTTTTTTTAGTTTTTGGTGGACACAACATCTTTATTTTATTTTTATGTGGTGCTGAGGATGGAACCCAGCGCCCTGCACATGCCAGGCAAGTGTGCTACTGCTTGAGCCACATCCCCAGCCCCCTCTTTCCTCTCTTAAAGGCTAGAAATCCTGCCAGTGGCCTCAACTCTGCCCTTACTCATTTTGTTACTTTTCCCAGGGAATTCAACATCGGTTAAGGAGTGGTATCAACAATGTGAGGATCCATGCACCCCAGATTGGAGGTGAGAGTCTTGTAATGCCACAGGAAATATGATGGTAGTGTTGAGGGAAGTCGATCCTTTAGGGACAGATGCAAGTGGGAAGTTCAGATTTTAGCTCAGACTCTGCCGGAGTTCTTCCAATGGAGGTGACATTTCCAAACAATTAAACATGGAAGAGCAAGAATGTAGATTCCAGAGTTTAAATGTAGCCCCCATGTCTTCCTTGTTTTGTGGCCTTGGGCTAGTAGCATGCCTTTCTGAACCTCATCTATAATAGGGTGATGATGATTACATTAACCACCTTATCAGTAGTTTTGTAATTTACGTGATTTACTTGGTACTAAGTGCTGGTTGCTATGCTAAGCAAACCCTTAAATAATATTAACTAATTTAAAATTAACAATGTCAACTAACAGTATCTCGTATAGGTCCTGAAACACAATAACCCCTCAAACATATTAACTACAATTATCCTAAATGCTTGAGACTAGAAGTATTTTGGATTTCAGAGTTTTTTCAGATTTTAGAATATTTGCATATGCCTAATGAGATATCTTAAGAATGGACCCAAATATAAATAGGAATTTAATTTAATTTGTGCTTTATATATTACCTTATATAGATAGGCCAAAAGTA